TGTACAATGAAGATCAAGAAATACAAGCACTCAATAAAATATGGAAGTGAGCAAAGTCACTTGAGCATAATTTACTGTTTTTTCAACAGAGGAGAAAAACAGTTGTCTCTGATTAGAGGTAACTGTTGTATAATGAAAACATGGCAGCACCACGGTGAGAATAAAAGAAGCTCACAAAGATTTGGTCAGAAGGTTATTTTGAGATAAATTTTGCAATGGTACCTGAAAAGGACCCTTATTTGTCTGAGAAATATACCAATGCCATGTGCAGGAAAGAGCCCTGGACAACTCTAGGCGTACGTTACACATCTGGCATGGAATGAGCACAGGTACACTACTCATCACCCAGACTCCTGTAGTTTCTGATTCTCACATTGTAAAAGGGTACTGCATATTTGACTTTCAAGACACCAGATTGCTCATCGCACAGCATAACGGGACCATGATCAGCTGGGCCAGTGGGAAGATGGAGTTTAATTTAGGTAAATGTGAGGTGTTGCATTTTGGTAAGGCAAACTAGGGCACGACCTACACATTTAATGTTGCCGAACAAACTTGAAAGCAGAATACAGGGTTAACAGAAAGATTCTTGGCAGTGTGGAGGAGTAGAGGGATCTTGGAGTTCATGTTCACAGTTCCCTAAAAGCTGCCACCCTGGTTGATAGAGTTGTTAAGAAGGCGTATGGTGTGTTAGCTTTCATTACTAGAGGGATTGAGTTCAAGAGCCGTGAAGTTATGTTCCAGCTGTCTGAAAGCCTGGTTCGGCCACATCTGGAGTATTGTGTCCAGTTCTGGTTGCCTCATTACAGGAAAGATGTGGAAGCGTTGGAAAAGGTGCAGAGGAGATTTACCAGGATATTGCCTGGAATGGAGGGAAGGTCTTACGAGGAACGGTTGAGAGAGCTAGGGCTTTTCTCTTTAGAATGACGAAGGATGAGAGGTGACTTGATAGAGGTGTACAAAATGATCAGAGTTATAGATAGAGTGGACAGCCAGAGACTTTTTCCTAGGGTGGAGGTAGCTATTACGAGGGGGCATAGTTTTAAAGTGAGTGGAGGTAGATATAGGGGAGACGTCAGAGGTAGGTTCTTTACTCAGAGAGTGGTCGGGGCGTGGAATGCATTGCCGGAGAGGGTAGTGGAGTCGACCTCTTTAGGGGCATTTAAGCAGCTATTAAATAGGCATATGGATGATAGTATAAGGTTAGATAGAACCTAGGATTAGGGTAAAAGTTTGGCACGACAGAGTGGGCCGAAGGGCCTATACTGTGCTATACTATTCTATGTTCTATGTTCTATGAACAAAAGGACCTAGAGGTGTAGATTCATAGTGCCTTGAAAGTGGAGCCACAGGTGGACAGGGTAGTGAAGAAGGTGTTTGGTATGCTTGTCTTTAGTGGTCACTGCATTGAGTTTAGCAGTTGGGATGTCATGTTCCGGCTGTACGGGACATTAGTTAGGCCATTTTTGGAATATTGTATTCAATTCTGGTCTCCCTGCTATAGGAAAGATGTTGTTAAACTTGAGAGGGTTCAGAAAAGATTTACAAGGACATTGTCAGGGTTGGAGTGTTTGAACTATAGGGAGAGGCTGAATACACTGGGGCTATATTCCCTGGAGCGTCAAAGGCTGAGGGGTGATGTTATAGAGGTTTATAAAATCATTAGAAGCATGGATAGGGTGAGTAGCCAAAGTCTTTTTCCGAGTGGAGGGAAGTCCAAATGTAGAGGGCATAGGTTTAAGGTGAGAGGGGAAAGATTTAAACGGGACCTAAGGGCTAACTTTCTCATGCAGAGGCTAGTGCATGTGTGCAATTAGCTGCCAGAGGAAGTGGTGGATGCTGGTACAATTACAACATTTAAAAGGCATCTAGATGGGTACATGAATAGGAAGGGTTTAGAGGGATATGGGCCAAAAGCTGGAAAATATGTCCAGTTTAATTTGGAACATCTGGTCAGCATGGACAAGTTGGACCGAAAGGTCTGTTTCCACGCTGTACATCTCTATGACTCTATGTGACTCAATGCGATCACTCAATGCATTCAGAAACCAGAACAAACATTGTGCTGTTTATAGCCTGAGATACTGAGGCTAATTGCTGCATTACAGGGTTTATTTGTTTTCATTCAAGGAATGTGAGCTTTTCTGGCTGGACCAACATTTGTTGCTCATCTCTAGTTGTACTTGAGAAGGTGCTGGTGAGCTGTCTTCTTTAACTGCTGCAGTTCATGTGTGATAGGTAAGCCTACAATGTCTTAAGGTGACAGTTTCAGGATTTCTGACTCAGTGAGATTGAAAAAATGGTGAAATATTTCCAAGTTAAGGTGGTGAGTGGCTTGGAAGGGAACTTGTGACTGATGGCAATCTGCGACCCTCGTCCTCCTAGTCAGAAATGGTTGTGGGTTTGGAAGGTTCTGTATAAGGAGGCTTGCTAAATTTCTGCAGCACATCTTGTAGATAGTACATACTGCTACTACTGAGTGTCAGTGGAAGAGGGAGAATATGTTTGTCAATCTGTTGCCAATCAAGCAGGCTGCTTTGTCCTCGAGGATGTCGAACTTCTCGAGTGTTATTAGAGCTGCACTCATCCAGGGGTGTTGCCCACGTTCTGTTTGGACAAGGTTACAAACCACATGTATGTTTTGTAATTTAAATCCATTTAATAATGATAATTGAAATTTGTGCTGGGGTGAATAACCATTTGATACTGAAGGTATCTCAATCCTCTTGAGCTTTACAGTAAGAGAGAGAATTATAATACCTTTGAACAGAAATTAGCTAAGCACTGTTGACGTTTTTCCTACCTTAAATGCATGGTAAAGTTACTTATAGTGCAGAGTATGAAGTTAACAGGACACAGACAAATTGCAAGGTTTCTTGCCAAAAAAGCTCTAAAAGGAATTAACATTTGTGAATAGTTCTAAATCATTGACTACCACATCCCAGCTGGATGGTTTAGTGAATATAATCTTTCATTATAAAATAGGCTCTCCCATTATTTCACTAAATGTCTCCCAGAAAACAGTATACAGAAGAGATGTAATTTCCAAAATAGATATTTGCATTATCAGTTTGCACCTCAAAAGACAGATGTACAGAGAGAGAAAAAATGATTTCTTGCTCCTGCCTTTGCATAGCTGACCGCTGAACTGTCGTTGTATTCCTTGGATTTTAACACCTATCAGCTCACATGAGAATGGTCAAAATATTATTTGTTGTTGGCACTTAAAAAGCCAATATTACAAATATTTTTAGAACATAATGAAAATCCACCTTGATTTTGACTAACTCTATATTACAATAGAAAATATTGAGCGAAGTTTTTTTAACTTGCATTTGTTTACTTTTAAAATTTGTACAAGAGTGTTTTTAAATTGATGATTGACATAAATAGAATACACTCAGAGTCATAGAGTGTAGAGTAGGGAAACAGACCTTATGGTTAAACTCGTCCATGCTGACCAGATATCCTAAATTAATCTAGTCCCATTTGCTAATATTTGGCCTAAATCCCTCTAAACTCTTCCCATTCATATACCCATCCAGGTGCCTTTTAAAAGTTGTAATTGTACCGGCCTCCACCACTTCCTCTGGCAGCTCATTCCAAACACCCTCTGCGAAGTTTGTTTGTACACTATATAATGAGTAATAAACGGGATAATAAAGGAGATCTTGAGGTTCACTGACAGTGTTCCTCTCTCTGAGCTAAAAGGTCCAAGTTCAAATTCCAAAACCAGAATATGATGGTCATGGAAGGTACATTTATAATGTAGTCAAACTGATTGATTTCTGGAATGCAATTCCTTCTGACACAGCAATGACAGATGATGGGAGTGGGACAGTTTCCTGGTTGGTTATGCTGTAGTTCCCAGCCCTAGATAAATCAGAAGGTCAATGGCAGGAAGGACTTCCAACTGTAAAACCAGCTGCCAAATCCAAATAATTGTGGCTGACACCAGGGTGATTAACCAAAATTTTATTGACTCCATGTAACATGGGTAAAGTTGAAAGAAAGATAAAAAATGACCTAACTTTTATTTTTAAAAAATAATTTCTACTTTCATTCATATTTTGACAAATACTGTAATAAATATCTTGACTCACGGGGTTTAAAGTTCATCAAATTATTTCTTTAGGGCACTGTAACTGTGATTTGCTGAAAACATCTTAAACTGGAAAAAGAAAGGAGACAAATTCTGGGAGTGATCCACACAAGGTTTTGATGGGTTTTAAAGCACTGATAATAGCTGTCAATAAACCTGCCACTGTATTAATGTTAACTCTTGTGAGCCTATGTTTATTCTGACTGTTGGGAAAGTACAACTTGGAAACAGCAGTAGTTCAAGAAGAAAGATCACTTGTTCGTGAGAACATAGATATTGCCGATAAGACCAGCATTTGTGTCTCATCCCTGAGTGCTTTCGAGACGTAGTGATGAGCTGCCTTTCCTGAACTCAAAGGTACAACTTGTTAGACTTGCTACACTTTCTGAGTGAAATATTGGCCAGAGGGGCAAGGACAGCAGAGTTCCTGGGATATTAGTCAACTAAAGGGATTTTAGGAACAGAGTAGGTACCAAATTCCAGATATTTATGAAAAAGCTGATTGAATTTGAGTACCCCAAATGTTACAATGGGAGGTGAACTGCTACCTGGAATTCCCATGATCACTTTGCTGCTAAGGTATTTAGTTTGCTAAACCAGTGTGTCAGTACTTCTTTCAGTTTTATTGCCTCACTTTTTTTTGTAGTTTTATTCTCACATTTGGCATACATTGATGTTTCATTCCAGAATCTTAGTGTTTTAAATTTCGACTGGAACATTTGCACATTTGTGTGGTTTATTCTTAAAAGCATATTTGATCTAAGAGAGCTAAATAATATGCAGGCCCACTGTGGGGAAAAATAATTTCTTTGGTGAGATGGTTCCTCTTTATGTTGTGCACATTGATTAATTTAATTATTTTGGAACAATGCTATTTAAAGGGAAATTTCTCCCTTACCTGTTCATCACGAAACTGTATGCATTGACTTGACAGGATCTGGGCAAGCATCTTGAACCGCTCCCATAGACTTCCTTTAAATGTGAAAAACAGGTTTTCATTACGATATTGGAGTTCAATTCCTTTCTTAACCAGAGGTTTGAAGGAGGAATCTAGTAGAAAATAGTGTCACTCCCAGAACAGATAAATGTTTTAGCTTTGTCATTGTATCTTTGGTGGGTCTAGAGCCAGCAACAGGAATGCTCCTTCAAATTTCACAAGAGTTGTCCATTTTTCGATTCTGGAATCTACCCCACTTATGGTCTGGGAGACTCATCTTGAAATTACCTCACCATGATTGACCTGAATGCCAGAGGATCCTCTATTTGCCTCCACTGATTGGCAAACTCCATTGAGGTCAAAGCATTTTGATGCTCCACAGTGCCCCCAGGTATCCCCTTTTCATTATCAGTTAAAAGTGGTATTCACCAGCCAACTGAGCATGGGCACATGCACAATAGAATATCCCAAACTTGCATACAAAGACATTCCAAAACACAGTCTCAGAGGTAATAAATTGCACCATACTACATAGAAAAAAAAACAACCTTGGACAGATCCAAATTAAGAAAACTTCATGATCAAGCTGTCTCCCCATTTAAGGAGAACTGACCCAGGTTCAAATTGGACAAATGAGCACACTAGAAAGCCAATGCTTTCACCAAACCCTCCAATAGTGATTTTGACTGTAATATTTTCAATCAGAGTTGCAAATCACATTTGCTTTTAGCCTTTACATCACATATGAGACAACATCAACCTGGATGCTGAGCAATCAGTCCCCTTACACACATCCATTGAACTGACAGAATTGCCTATGAGAATATAGAAAGGATGGAATAGGTAAAGAAAATTGAATATATCCCCTAAAATTCCCACCACTCAATAGTGAAGTGCAGCTCATTTGGAGAAGAAGACAAATTATGGGCAGAACATAGATCTGTCAGTTTTTCATCCCATTAATTTGGTGGCAATGGGAAAGCCTGCCGACCCTTGCTCTGGGCACATAGGTACAAAATAACCAGATAATGGTGTTACAATTGCTGCTGCCCTGAAGTGCTGTCCTTTCTATGCTACCCTGAGTCATTGCCAAAAAGAAAGCTAAAGCTGAAGCAGAACCTCGAAATGTCCCTGAAAACTGCAAAAAGACTCATTATTGCCAGTTGTATGGCACACAATTCTGCCCAGCAAAGCAACCAGTGCATTAAAATCAGAAGAAACAGCAGAGGATGCGTAAAAGCTGAGAAACATGTTATTGAAAGAGATCCAGTTCACTACATGCTGATAAGCAACAGAAACGTGTTGGAGATGTGTTGCATTTAGTCATTTTCCTCTAGAGTAGGCTATTTTTTTACCTCTGTATTCTCAATAAATCCATGAAACAAAAGGATAGACTTTAGGATAGATCCACCGACTCTTCCACCTTAAGTTCCAATATGAGAACGTAATCTATAAAATCTACCTTGAAATGTGACCGAGCTTTTTTGCTACATGCAAAAGGAAACAGGCTGTAAAATAAGGGGAAGAAGGAAACAGCTGAACAAAATCATACACTCAAATTTTGCAATTACTCACCATTCCAAACCATGTGACAAATGAAGATGTCCTCTCAAACTTATACCACTGATCCCTCAGTCACTGAGTCAGAAATAGTGCACTCCTTATTGGGTTTGAGAGTGGACGAGGATGGATATACCATTTTGCCATGACTGAACGCTATATTTCTGAAACACCTTAGATATCAATGGCTCAGAAAATACATGATAAATTCATTGATCCCATGTGGGGAGTTCTGTTTGAAAGAAGCACAAGTCAGAAACTCACATCTACAATGTTGTCATCCTTTTCCTTTTCCTTAAGTGCTCCTTTCAGGTGTAATCTCTTCTTCTGAGCCCATAAAGATGATTGGGGTACACTGGACAGGAGGTGAAGAAGAAATTGTGGCTAAATCTGTGCTTGAGAAGCTGTGTCTTTAGATGGTTGAAGGATTAGATGAGCTGTATGGTATGAGGACAGGAGATTCAGCACGCGGGAATGGAGCAGTTGAAATCTCCACCACTAACTTGAGTGGAAGCAATCACATTGTTGACCACAGTTGCAGATATACAGAATATGTACTGTATCAAGATGGAAATTGGAAATAATGAAGACTGGCGGAAGCAGGAGTTGTTGTATGGCTTAGAAAGGGGATGAATATAAATGCCAGATTTGTCAATTATTTTGAAATTTGTGTAGCGTGAAACTTAACAGGTTGGCAAGGTGAATGCTGAGGGAATTAAAGTTAGGCAAAACTGCAATGGCAGTTTTAGCCATGCTGGAGAAACTATAGACTACATTATGGAGTGAAAGCAAACAACCTTGGTGACATTGAATGTCTATTTTGTAGATCAGTTCAGAGGAAGAGGGTAATCAGTGATAGAGGAGACAGAATCGGATTCTCATGATAAAGGAGAGTTGTACAGAGGTAGAAAGACAGCAAAATAGAAGGGGAAAGAGCTAAAAGTTCAATTATTTCTCTTTTAATAGAAATAAAGACTTGAATGAAGGATTAATTATACTGTCAACAGCTTGTATTTAAGTACCATCCAAATATATTAAAAGGATCCAAAAGGCTTCACTGCATGGCAATCAGACAAGAATTCACAAAAATCAAATGTGTTCATATAACTTACCGATCAAGCTTAATTGATTTTCATGTTATTTGAACTTTTCGTTATACATTGCCTTTAACCTCACTTATGCCCATTTATTATATGCCCATCCAGTTTAGCTTCAAAATAGACAACATGGTCAAGTATTTTAACATTTAATTACAATATGCAGCTAAGAATAGCTGTAAGCGCTAAACACAATGGATGCATGTAGGAATCAGGTTCAGGCTGAAAATCTACACACATTTTAAAATTATGCACACTTATATGGTGTAGGCTTAAGTGAATTCTACTGTACAACATGATGAAAGTGGCATATTGTGCTCCAGGATACTAGTTCAACTTAAAAGTGAAATGGAGAGTGACACTAAGCTCAGTTTGGCATTAACATTCTGACTTTGCATTTTCAAGTAGTCTGTTTCATTTACTTGATCTATCCTAGGAGAGATACTGTGCCCATTATAATGAGTCCATCATTGACATTTGTTTGCAAATTGTCTCTGATAGGCTTGGCTAATGCTAAGGCAGTGCATTGTCATCTCTTAGGAGACAAAGTGGAGATTTAGAAGATCTGATAACAACAGTGAAATATAGGCACTTTGCTTTTAAAAAAGAGTGCCGGATTTTTCAATGGTAGCCAGATAAGAAAAGACAATAGCAATGTCTGTAGGTATGTACTACTTACTGCAATAGGGATGTTTTCGTGATAGCAGACAACTTGAATGTCAGGTTTGGTAAGAGGATCAGAACCAGAACTGGACAATTTGCACTTGACATGTAGGGTGAGTAATTTTTCAACTTCTTAAAATAAATGTGTAATTTTCTTAGCAGAATTAACATCAGTTTGATCATGCCTTCATTTTCAAATCTTTACTAAAATTTATTATTAGTTAACGCTTCAGTGAATATATGGAAATCCTTTTAATCAACAATATATAAGTCATACTGAGGTGATGATTGAAACTCTTCTTATGTTTACAATTTATTTGGCTTTTAGCTTTGAAATAGAGAAGCAAAAGAGAAATATTATTAGTCAAGCATGTGAACAGAAACAGAAACTAAATTGAAGCAGCAAGCTGGGAGCAGACTTTTTTATTAAGAAAGCACTGTAAGTAAAACACACAGAATCTGCTTTCATCTCTGCATAGCTCCAAGGCATAAAACTCAACATTTGTCAGTGAGATATGACAATGGCCAACATTATCACTGGAGACTGAGGGACAGTCACTGATGGTTGTGACCTGTGGACTGAAATGACAAGCTCAGCAAAGTTGAGAGAAGAGTCAGAGAAACAGAAGCCATGGAATCCTACACTGTCTCAAGCCATTTTTCTCTCTCTGCAGCCAATACAGCATAGACTGTCTTGCCAGAATAACGCTCCTGAGCCATACCAGGTGATGTTTAACAGAGAATTGACCACCACGATGCAAATCAGCATCTTACTAGATGGAAGGCTGCCAGTGAATGACCTGGAAGCTCTGAGGAGGCGCAGATAAATTCCACCTGCATTCTGTTCTCCAAACATTGCAACAGAATTGGCTTAAATACAATGGTTCATGTTCAAAATGAAATCTGCCTTATATCAAATCTGATGTGTTTGCTTTTCTGATGTAAGAGCTGCTGTCATGAATTTTAATGTCAGCCAGTGAGAATTGTCACTAGCTCCAATGTATTGTATGCACATCCTCAGGCTTCAAATTCAATAAAATGTCATGGGCTGAATTCTATGGCCGCCCTGCTGGTGTATTTGAAGGACGGTCGAAGTCTGGTAAAATAAAACAGAAGGCACGTCTACTGCCTTCCAGCCCAATCTGACCTTTCCCTGACATTTTGGAGGGAAGGAAAGATGTCTTGAGGCCTGCCTGCTCTTGGGCCTATTGAGGCCCTTCAGTGGCCAAGAATCACTTACAGGCCTCATTCTATTTCTGTTGCTTTAGTCTGTGTAAGAGAGGAAAACAGAAGCAAAGTGGTCACGCCAGTTGCTCTCATTGCATGGGCCATTGTCAGGCATGATGTGGTCTCCTATGCTTGTCGGAGGCCCTCCCACTCCTCAAACTTCAAGCTCTAAAACACAGCACCTATCTTCTACCCTCACTGGGGCCAGCCAGGCAGGGCCATCCAAAGTTCCTGTATGTTCTTACCCACAGCCCCACACCCATCGGCCTTTTTCAGGACCTGCTTGTAGTCCCAGCAGCAGCAAACCTCTTGATCCTTTGGAGTTCGGCATTGCTGGCAAATCAGACTGGCCAGCAGCTCTCTACAGCAGCATTTCCTACCAGATGGGGTAATCTATTTCAATTAAAACTTCTCTTCAGTGTAACATAGCTGTGGAGCAGTTGGGTTTCAGGTGGGCTGCTTGTTCACAAAATTTTCACGTAGGGTGTTTAAAATGCGTCACCACATTAAAATCTGCCTGCATGTTGCAAAGTGAAGAAGATACTAGATTTTGCAATTCTTTTCACGTTAATAAGATCTATGTAACACTCCCCAACAGGGACAGATTAAATGTAGCAATCAATTATTTGAAAAATCAATAGAAGGTGTTGTAAAACTACCAAAATCATAAGAAGATTATCCTTAAATTTAACATTACCCTCCTAGCTTTAAGTGCACTTTATAATCTTTCATTGAAGTTTACATATCGTGAGTGACAAGGTACAAGTAAAGATGAAGAGGGTTCTCAATATAATCTACCTTTAATATACTGGTTTTCTGCAAAAGAGGTTCAGACTAAATCCAGAGATAATGGTCTTATCCAAAGCATCTAACAAATAAGAAGTTGCTTTGAAAAAAAACTGATAATGAGCTGTCTGTTTTACTACTTAAAGCTACCAAGAATTTCAGTCACAGTAATTATAGTGGGATCACTATATTAACGTTGTATTCATGCATTATATCAGCAATTCCTTCATGGAATTGATGACTCTGATTTAACTGTAAGCTGTTTATAATTTGCTCCCTACAGCACCACAGAGAATGCTTACGTTTAGGAATATTCAATGATACATTCAGCATAGGGTTGTGTATACAAACAGAGAAACAAAATACTGACTTATTTGCCAGCTTACATTGCTCTGTTTTACAAAACCTCAGAACCCGCATCAACAGAACCTATAGGCTCATACGTCAATTATTATGTCAACACTAATGATTTTTCGAGGAGAAAATTGATAAATTCTGTTTCATTATTTCACGGGCAGTCCAAGTTGCTGACATAGGACTCACAGAAATGACAAATTTGCTGATAGTGGCTTTAACCTATTGATACAACAGAACCCAACTGCAATTACCTCAATACTTTAAGTCAATCAGGTGCAGGGCTGGATGAACACAGCAGGCCAAGCAGCATCATAGGAGCAGAAAGGCTGACATTTCGGGCCTAGACCCTTCATCAGAAAAGGGGGAGGGGAAGGGGGTTCTGAAATAAATAGGGAGAGAGTGGGAGGCGGATAGAAGATGGATAGAGGAGAGGATAGGTGGAGAGGAAACAAACAGGTCGAAGAGGCGGGGATGGGGCCAGTAAAGGTGAGTGTAGGTGGGGAGTTAGGGAGGGGATAGGTCAGTCCA